GAAACTGCACAATTCAGTGTCAGTCTGATGATGTCTGTGAAAACCAGCTCATTCTGCAATCATGTAAACACACAGTGCTTCTTCTTTAGATATATACAAATACAAAAGCCAAAGCAACCTGCTTTTGTGCAGTGGACATGAGAAATTTGAACCTAATTTGAGTGCAAGCTACAGATATGATATGACAACAAAATGTATATCTCCTAACCTTGACAAGTGTCCAGGACACAACTCGGCCATCAGACGACACAGAATAGAAATTGTGGTTGCTGTCCATATCATCACTCTGCCAGCGGACCTAGAAAAACAAAGTACACTGTATTGGGTTGCAGTAGCATGAATGGCATGAGTGAAAGTAGGTTGTTCTTAGTGCTATTTTCAGCTCTCAAAATGGCAAAATGCATAAGTGGACACAAAGTAAGCAAAGATGTGACAGAAATTAGACTGAACAGTGCACACATCCTGAATTTCTGTCACCCTATCCACCACTGTCATGCCATCCACTCGCACCTGCCAGACAGGATCTGTGTGCTTGCCAGTCTTGGCTGTACTCTTGTAAACAGGCTCCTGTCCCTCCTCCTTCAAGCTGTAGACAGCCACACAGCCATCGTAGAAGCCCACTGCCACCAGGTGGGAATGCTGTGCATGAATGTCGAGGCACATGACACCAGAACTGGTGGGGTAGATGTACTCTGGGAAGGCAGGGTTTTTCAGCGAGTAGAAGAGAAGCATGCCACATCCCTGTCTACTAAAGTTGTCTGGCCAAGAGAGGGACACAAGTGAGTGGTTTGCAAAAAAAGATAGATTATCAATTTACTGCATTTGTTTACAAAAAGAAAGAAAACACAATTTAGATAAATTTAAGTTGTCTAAGACGGTGACAGATGAGGTGCTTACTAACAGCTCTCTGCCTTTGAACTTACATGATCCCAATCCCACAGCAAAAAGATCCTGATATTTATTATTCCTGTAAGGGACAGGTGACTCAGTATCATGACAGCAGAGGAAACAAACAATCATTGAAATGCAGTCATCTCTCTGAGGTAACGTTGTAGAGCCAATGAGTCAACCTACCAGCAGAGGGCAGTGACAGACAGTGTCTTGGCTTTGTCATATTGAAACTTCCACAAGGGGAGAAGGGTTCCCTCCTGCTCCCTAAACTCATCAGAGGCATCCTCAAAGTATTTAAAATCTGAAACGGTATAGAAGGAGAGAAATTAGAGGAGAAGAAAAGAAATGAGAATGTCCTTGCTTGATTATGAAATCAGGCTGTAGTTCATTGTTGTTCATCATTGTTGTTCATCTGTTATGTACGATAACAAAACAAACCTTGTGCTATGTCATCAAATGTATTCTGACTGATCGTTCGTTCAAGGATCTTTGATGCCATGGTCCATTTGGTGACATCTTCACTCTGTAACAGAAATGTAACATTACACTGGATGAAAACACTGCAAAAACATGCAATAAACAATAAATATGACTATTATGAGAACATAAAAATTATGGTGTCATTTAGTGATTTTGTTTTATGATTAGCTCAGTGAAAACCCTTAGTAATGCATTAATATGGTGTTATATACATGGTTTGTATGGCAGCAAGATAAAGCTTCTTTTGTCTGCTCCTTTATTCACAAGGGGTTACCGTGGCAGCGGATGCCCTCCCTGAAAAAATCCCCAAGGACCTTGTGTCACCTCCCAGATTTTTTGATTGTTAAATGAATGTGTAAACCATGTTAAATGTAAATGTGCTAAAATACAAATATTAGATACATGTTGAGTTTAGGCTGTAAAGTTTTTCAGTCGTCAACTTACCTGAGTCTCCATCAGCATCACCTTTTTGCTTTTGCCATTATCTTTTTGTGAGTGCGTGCCTTTCTGCTTCTCTTTGTTTTTCTCTTGTTTCTGCAACTCCTGCACGTATGCATCATAGATCTCCCACTGCCAATAACAGAGTTATTACCATCAAATGATAGGGGAACAAATATTCACTGATGCTCAACAGAGAGAAAACAAATGTGGTCTAAACATATCCTTTGATCACATCAGGGAATCCAGTACCTGATTAGCAGTAGCAGAGAAGCTGCTTCGTGGAGGAGGTTCAGTCTGGCAGATTCTATCCTGCAAGGAAATTAAGAATGACTTCACTGAAACTTTTGAGTTTATGTTAATCTCTCTATCTACTCATTGAAACTGTTTTTAATGCAAAAGCAAATACGTCAACCATTGCACAAAATACTGGCTTTGCCTCTCCTACCTACCCTCATTGGATTATTGAGAGTCTGAGAGGCTCGATTACTGAAGTTAAACTGGTTAGTCACTTTTGGCTCTTTCTTGTTGATTCTGGAGGCAGCACTGTCTGGTCTGTCCTCATCGCCAGCTTCCTCCACGTCCCCTCCATCCACTACAGGATTAACCTGTGGAAAACCAACAAACAGATATTTGTAGCGCAAGTCAAACTTTGACTAATTTACGCTTTAAAGAGTTACATTTAGGAAAAGATTTATTTTATAATTTTTTTTCACCGAGGTTTCTGCTTTCTCCTCTTCAGACTCTGCTGTGGCATCAACTGTTGCAATCTCTAGACACATTAAAAAAATCTATTATATCTCTGATATCTCACTATTGGGATCTCACTTTTTGCGAAACAGGGTATTTCTCACATTTTATGTTGCAAGGCAAAAGCGACACCTTGAGGCATCAAGTGTCAACTACAACAGAGGGGAAAATATAAGACTACAGGCAACAAATTCTGAGAATAAATCATTAGTTTTTGGGTTTGTTTGTTCTTTTGACTACAGAGTGAAAGCCTTAAGCAACCCTCATTTCTTTATATTTTGTTTTTCAATGAGCCAGACTTTCTTATAAGTTTTTAAAGTGGTTTTAAGCAATATTTTCCAAAAGAAGTATGAGCTAAAAACTTGCCATATCTCAGCATAGTGTGCAGTGTGTCCTTAAAAAATCAGAGAAAACTGGACAAGTGGAGAGTGTCAAGAAGCCATTTTTAACAACACAAGGGAACTGGGGAGCAACTTATACAAGAACTGCATTAAAAATCAGTGGAAACAGGTTTTATAGAGTAATGAATCCCAGTTTTAAAGTTTTTGGTTGACATCGTCATCACTATGTATGGAGGAAGTCCATTACTATACTGTAGTAAATACAGTATTGTTTTTACTACAGCTACTACTCCTACTGCTATATTTACTATATGTATATAATGCATTTCCATTTCCTTTTCAATAAATGTTCAATTAATGTCTTATTTTTCCTGCAAAATATAAAGAAATACAGGGTGGTTAAAGACTTTTTGACTTATCTAATATATCATGTATATAAAGTAGAGCAAAATCTATACATATTATCCTCTATTGTAGGATGCTTCAGTAAATACCTTGAGCTAAGCCTTCCTTGACCCTAAGTTTACGAGCCTCTTCAGAGTCTTGATGCACAAGGCTGCCCTCTAAAACAAAGTGAACCGCCATCTGATCCACAACATTGATAGGCTTGTAGGAACGCTCCTGAGAGAAACCCGAAAGAAAAATATCATGAAATGTGCTTGTTTAGTCTGGTCATAAATTAAAAGAGAGAAGAGAAGCGAATGCATGGGGACTACCTGCATAGATTGTATCAAATTATTTGAGATGAAACAAATAACACTTGCGGCAAACAAGTTATTCTTATGCTAAACGTAAGAGGCTCACAGTGAAGCAATTATCAGTCTACAGTCCACATCTTAATCTGTATTTTGTATACTTTCATTGCATCTATAAACAGTGATTTTGATTTTTACATCTGGATCTAGCTTCTTTACCTTGAAGCTGTAGCGGACAATATTTTGAGGGGCGTGTGGGTTGTTTGCAGTCAAAATCCTTGTGATCTCCTCCTTCAGCTCCTATTCATTATCAACATAGAGAGATCCTTAACACAAGGACAATTAATTTAATTATAGCTTACAATTTTAATATAGGCACTGAATGATAAAGAACAACATCAAAGTCTGCGCAAATTTCTTCAGTTCAGTCCACATGGTTGTCTTAAACCTGAGAAATGAGTATTTCCATCCTTCTCTTACAGCCTCAGTAAGCTCCATCTGATCTGGAGGCCTCACAAGGGCTTTCCCCTGAGACCACTCCTCCCATCCAGTCCCCGTCTCCACAGCCTCTTCCTCATCCTGTAACGTTGCATAGAGAAGACATTTATGAATAAAAATCACATTATGTTATGATATAGTATATTCATCACTCTTCTCTTTCCGTCACCCAAACGCCAAAACCTATCCAATAAACACACAAACCTTTTTCTTAGTGGCAGCTTTCGTTGACTTTGCTCCAGGTACCTTCTGAACGTTTGACCCCTGTGCGAAAATAACCAACAATCAGCTATACGGTGGGTTATATTACAGTAGGTCCTTAACAATTGCTTTACTTATCCGTGAAGCTACACCATGAATATTCTAGTTAGCTAATTCAGGCCAGCTAAACTGAGCTGACGTTTACCTTCCTTGCAAACGCTGCGTTGTTGTTAGGCACCGGCATTTTCAATTTGATTTTTAAAGCTAGTTTATAAAGTTCGAAAGAAAAAAGGGAAAAACTAAACAAAATTAAACTAGTTAAAAGCTAAAAAAAAAGAATAGAAAAGAAAAGAAAGAAAGAACAAGGGGCTGTCTGCTAGTAGCCTGCTGCTGTATATAGGTTGTCAAGACAACCAGTTTTGGTTGGCGCAGAGCCGGAGACTGCTGGATGTGTTCAGTCCCTCAGACAACTATTGAACATTTTTATTAGTGAACTTTTTTAGCAGTATTATTCTAATTTTATCAGCTAAAGAAAAAAAATGTGGTCTGAAAGCTTTTGACATAAATATACTAAATAAGGAGAGTTTATTATGGAAAGGAAACAAGTGTATTTTTGTATTAAATTGTAAAACAAATCAAACATACCCCTCCAAAATCCCCCCAAAACAAAACAAAAAACAAAAAACACAAAAACGGACGTATGCTTGTCTTTGCAATTCTAACTGAAAAAACGAATTTGTTTCACGGCGCATTTCCAGTGGGGATCTCATCTCTGATTGGACGGTTTTTGCCTGAATAATTTATAGACCCGGAAGTGGGGCGGTACTGCTGTTTTGCTGTCGAGTCACCTCTGTCAGGATGGAAGAAAACGAGCAGCTATCATGCTGATTAACGAAGGATGCCGACTGCCGACCACCATAAACCTGGCATAGTTCGAGTACATTCGACGTACAGCTTAAACCCCTGCATCGTTTTCTGCGACGCTTTGGCAAAATGATGGAAGAAATCGACAGGTTCCAAGTGCCTCCAGTTAACGGAGAGACACAGCCTCTGGTAAGAGACGAAAGACAAATCCCCCCACCCAAAAAACAAAATACAAATCTCATGTAAATCAGTTTATAATGTAGGCAAAAGGGCAAGTTTTAGTGTCGCCTGTGTGGTTTTATAGTGATAGCCGTGTCATGTAATCTGCCTCTGAGCTAGCCGATAAAAATTTGGAGCTCTGGGACAAGCTGGCTCTGTGGGATGGGTGTAAATCGACCATCTATAGATGGAAAGGAACGCGTCCGTTGGTTTCTCTGTACGATAAATATATTAGCATTACATGTAATAACTAATAGATGAACAAGCCGTTACTTTTTTTTTTATCATAGCAATTAAACTGCGCACTTTGCAGAAATCGTGATTCTTTCAAATTCACGTCAGTATGCGCTTGTTTACATCAATAGCTGACACAGCTCACTGTTTTCACATTTCGTCATTTGGTGACGTCTTATTTGGGTCGGGATGGGTGAGTCCAAATGATCGCGTGAATCCATACCCATACTGCGGACTGAAGTGTGGTAATAGTTGGCTCGAGCAGGCCCAAAGTAAGAGGATAGTCCCTCTTTTTACCCACTGACAAGTTTCGAGACCTGTCAGATAAATTGAAATGGATTTACTTCAGCACCAGCAACTCACGTCATTACCGTTTCCTTCTGCTTATAATGTTTCTCTCTCTCTAGATTTGAAATAAGTCGTGGTCACTAGTGACAAATTGAACAACTGGCCTCATTCCCTGCGTTCAGTTTTGCGTTCATTTTTAAGTGCTGTTATATCAGCAGTACATCACTGCGAGATATTACTAACACAGAAGCCTTCTTCTTCACATGTGAAACAAAGCAGCCTCAAACAGCTGCCCTTTTTTCTTTTTCTTTGCTTTTTAAGCGTTTGCCTCAGGGGGTTAGGCAAAAGCAGTGCTCCAAGTCATACTGTTCACATTATACCCGTGCTTTTCCAGCCTTACTACCCCTGAGGAAATCACACAAGAACAGGCTTCCCTCACAAAGTCTCGCTTGCTTTGTGCAGCAGCGATCACCTTGCTTTGTTAAGATCAGATCAGTCTGCACTTGTGTTTCATCCAGAGAGGTTTCCTTGTGAAGCTGAATCAGAGATGGCCCTGCTTGGACTGTGCATACAGTGGCGTTGGTCAGCACGTGCCCTAAAATTCTTGAAATCACATTGTGTATTCCTTTTCATCTTTCAACTGTAAAAGGCGATGTGGGTTTAAAAATATTATTTTATAGTTCAGCTCACGATCTCAGCCACTGAGCCACATATGGCCGTGCATTTTAATGCTAATAACTTCATTGTGAATGGGATGCTTGAATGCTCATGGCACCTGCCTCTTTGTCAGGACTCTGTTTCACACAAATAAATCAGATTAATACTCAATTTTGAGCCGTTTAATTCCTTTTCTATATGATATTTTTTCTTTCAGTGGGGAAAAAAAAGCAACTTCCCCGAGAACTTCCCTTTTATGCTCTTCAGCACAAGAACATCTGTCAGTGATTACTGTAGGCTACATCTATTTATGGAAGATTTCCCTGCAACGCACTGAGACAGCAATATAGTCATCACTGCCTTGCATAAGGAAAGCATTCAGTTGTTTTAAAGGCCACCTGATGTATCAGTCTTAGCTTCTATTGGCTAGTGGATGGCCGTGGTACATAATCCTAGCAATCGCTTGGTGCTTATGCCGTGTCAGCAACCTTGTGGCTCTTCATCATCACAGGTAGAAAAGAGGTTGCAAGCAGGACGACAGAGTGAATGAATGTGTATGCGAATGCATGATGAAGGTCAGGCCGATGGCCCATGTTTTATTGTCATACATATAAATAAATATAATGCCCCAAGTGTCATAGATCATACTTTAATCTTTCATCAGTAGTTGTCAGCAGTCAATGCAGGGTCTTTGGGGAATATCTATGCTCTTAATGCATGTTTTATAAGGTTCAATTTAATCTCATCTCATTGCATCTCATTGCCACCTAATATCCTCCACAATGGCTTGATTATCATTTGGGTTTGGAAATGTTAAATTCAATTCTTTGGGCCAACCTTCTACCTAATGCAAGGTGTTCTGGGTTGTCATATTCCAGGGCCTGTTTTAACTTGTTTATCGTGGGTACCTGCTACTTGCCATCTGTAATTGTGCTGTCCTATTTTTTAAGAAGTGGCAGGAATTTCTGTCACAAACAGCTTAATACCGAATCCTATTCATTATTCACTGGCAGGCTCGGCTGAAAATTTTCAAAAGGATTTATTTGACAGGCGGTGTGACCGTACAACATCACAGCATCTTTCTGTAGTGGAAGGATGCGCAAAGAAGCAAAGTAAAAATCCGGTGGGTAAGCCTGAGGATCTAAGGGACGGGCCTGTCACAGAACAGAAGATATTTGTGCTTGTTATGGTGGGAATACCTCATCTGTGTGCTGTGATTTCACAACCTCCTTTAATGTGTGTATCGTATCCACTGTTGCAGTTTTCATGAATTTTCTTTTGGTTTTAATGGTTGCGCTGCTGAAAATGCACACACAAACTGCTCTGTTTTACAGTTGTTTGGAATTTGGATCTAACATACATTGCGGGTGGCTCCATAGCCTACTGGTCTACACATTTGTCTAATATGTGAAAGATCCCTGGTTTGATCCTGGGAGGAGACACAAATCCCCTTTGGGTTTGTGTCAGGAAGGGCATCCAGTGTAAAAACTCCTCAATCAAACATGCAGAGCTACCTGCTATGGGTCACTTGTTGAAAATAGCTTTTTATCTTTTTCTTGAGGTCATAATTGTAACTTGTCAGAGGATTTTCATCATTTTAAAATGTATGTAAAAATAAATATGTTAATAAATACATTTAATTTTTACATCCCGTAGAAGCAAACAGTTCGGCATTTATCCATATGTTACTGAAACAAGTTCATGCAGAAAATAGCTGCATGTTTTATTCCCAAATCTGCAGCTACATGTCCATCCTACAAAGCCCAACTGGAAATTGCTAATGGGGGAAACCCTAAAGCCGAGGTGAACGCCTTCTTTTCTGTTAGTCAGTAGCTACAACTAAACTTTACCCTTCACAGCAGTCATTACTATCTCATACCGCTGTCCTGATCAAGATGGCACAAAAGCAGCTCCACTTCCTGAGCCAACGAGCTGCTGTTTGTCTTTCTGTAGATGCTCTATTGAAAGTGCACTGGCATGCTACATCCCAGTGAGGTTTGCCAGCTGCACTGCTCAGAAAAAGACAGCAATCCAGAGAGTCGTCAACACAGCACAGAAGATCATCGACTTTGCTCTACTGTCCTTGGTGCTCTAAATGTCCAACTGGCACAGAGTGCATAATATATAAATAAAATGCAGACATGTTTACTGTGAATGCAAAACTGTTCGCTGTATATAATTTGTAGATGAATACTGTGTTCCTAAAATGAGGCACAATACGTTTATCTTATCTAATGTTACATAATTGCCAGCACTGTCTGCTTACTCAGCTTTTTTCACCCATAAACAGACTGATATGTAACTGCAAAGCATCTCTTTTATTATTCAGCAATTCTAAAAATATTAACCCATTACATTTTGGTGCAGTTCTGGTTTACATTCTTTACAATTGCAAAACGCAGCAGCATGTCCTCTCCGAGAGGAACAGTAATCTATTTACTGTCTCTGCTAAATGATTATAGATCAGCTCTATTTGTCTTTTAGAATTGACTTGAACTGGTATAGTACTGTAAGTGTTTCAGCCATCCACCACTACTTATTCATTTTAAATTGTCATAGCATATTCAGACAGGGAGCATACGCTATTTCAGATACACCACTGGTATGAATTGTTTAACTTAAAGTGTCAAATTTCAGCTCCAGATATTTCCTTGCTTAAAGCCATCTTTAAATATAGCACCAATTTCTCTGGAGAGTATTCAAAGTTATCGAAAGCCAAATGCCTGGTAGCCTTCGTTCATGTGGCCCGCTGAGGCCCACACAGCGCAACAAGGGGAGGCCTGTGGGATCAACATAATGTGCAGCTCTGTAAGGAGAGGAGGCCAAGTGCGGCCTAGCTCCCCTCTCTCAATCTGGCGAAAGCGTGGCTTCAACAGCAACCCCCTCTGTTCTCCCACAGCCAACTCCCCATGCAATCACCAGTTGCTCACACATGAAAGAGAGAGCTGCTAACATAGGCCGAACACTCAAGCCTATTGATGCTGCAATCCAAGCAGCGATAGAAGGCTGCAGGAAACTTTCCAGCGTGCTTTACCCGAGTAGGTTCTAAAGCTGGCTGATTTGCCAGCTTTGTTGGTTAGTAATAAATCAGACAATCACTCTCGTCTGAGTGAGTTGACTGGACTTTGTTCAGTCTCACATACCTCTACAGTAAAGAGTTAAATGCCAGTCGTAAATAAAGAAACACAACCTAACACATCTTTCTTTTTCTCTAGGACCCCGCAGCATCTTCCACCTCAGAGGCAGAGCCTGACACTAAGGGAGAAAGTGTGGCCATGAACTACAAGCCCTCGCCACTGCAGGTCCAAATAGGTATTGTAGTCAACACACCGCAAATCAATGCATGACATGTCTTCATGTTTATCATTTAGAAATCAATTACCTTTGCTGTGGGATACCACAGTATGCAGGTTTGCTTTACTGATTCATCCAAAGTCAACATGAGGCCATAAACATCGAGCACCATGTGATATTTCTTATCTATATTGGATGTCAATGAAATTATTTTCCTTATTATTTGCAGTCTATCTTACTGTCTAATAACTACAGAGACCAGCTGTCTAACGGATGCTGCGTGTGTTGCCACTTCTTCTTGTTGACCTTGATGTTTTTTTTCTTGTGTTTTTGTGTGGCTAAACAACCAATCAAAACTTGGCTGATATGGGACAGTCCTAATAGATGCCATATTAAAATTACCTTGCACTGCACAGTAGCCTTGGTTCACTACACTGTGGCATACTGTATTATATAGACTGCATTTGGATAAAGCAATTTTGACATGAAAACAGGAAACTCGATTAAAAAACAAACAAACAGTCAAGGAACAATGCCAGTGTTTTTAGCTTAATTGGTGCATTTACTGATGACCTCACATCCTGTGGTTGCCCAGAGAAACAGAGGGACCTTGCCAGGAAGGGATCGGTGAAGAATGGCACCGTGGGAAGTCCTGTCAATCAACAACCCAAGAAGAATGCCAGGACAAGGTAGCGGCTTCCACTGCCTGTTTGTTTCTCTGTTATTCTGACCCGCTCAGCCACAAATGTTACACTTTGCGCTCATTAGCATTTTTTCTATCTTCAGTTCCCCATTCAGGTCTGAAACTCAAAGCGCCTGAAATGCAAAACATGAGGACTGTGCGTCCTCTGAAAAGGCTTTATTTGCTGCAGGGCTGCTTGGGATGCCATCAGACTCCTTAATGCTATAGCAGAATGCAATAGGGCTTTTTAGCAAAGGCAGATTTGGTGGTTTGTGAGTGGGATTGCTGATACAAGTGTTAAAACGTGAGTGAAACAAGTGCAACCCACAGTATTGACTACTGTCGCATCTGTTTAATCCCACTCCCTGGTGGATTAGTGGAACTATAAGAAAGGCTACCCACTGATCTGAACCCACATTCTCTCAGGCAGAAAGATAATCTGGCACTGCCTGCAGTTGGAAAACTACAGATTAGCCTCAATTTAGGGGGAAATGGATGATGGATGAATGGCATACATATCACAAATATCAAATGCTGTTATTTGATTCTATGACTTTTACATGTGCAGGTATTGCAGGTAATGTTATGTTAGATTTCTTCACAAATGTGAAGGACATGTGCTGATTGCTTTTTTAAGAGTACTTCTAATATAGACGTGTGCTCTTCTCCATTCTCTTTTGTAGGCTGGTGGTGCCAAACAAAGGCTACTCCTCCTTAGACCAGAGCCCAGATGAGAAGCCTCTGGTAGCGCTGGACACAGACAGGTAGGTACCGTACATGTTGTCACGTCGACTTAATTAAAATAATTTTTTTACAGACAGATTTTTAGGAAGAGTGCAGATGAGCTACAAAGACAAACTGCCTTGTAGAACTTGTATTTTTTGTAGGCCTTTCTCTGTCACGTCGGCATATTAATCCAAAGAGTAACTTGAGAGAGTCCCTAACAGCCGGTATCCTAAAAAGGGGCAAAGCCTCTCCCAGGGCTCGGGATTAGAGGATAGCGGGGTGAGGATTTGGACAGGCAAAAGCAGCTCAAAGAGAGCGCTCACATCCACCCTGTGCCAGCAGGACAGTATTGGACACAGATGAGTCCCACCCTTTGCACCCCCTTGTGTTGCTACATGTGGCAAACCCGCTCTTGTAAAATGAGCTCTCTGATAGCCAACAAAGCTTACATCATGTATTGCATCATATACTCTGTCTGACAAGCTTTCTCTGACTCATAGCCTCGCGGGATGCCCATTTGTTCATTGTTCACATTTTAGATTCATGTACACGTCATTTACTCAATGTCTCCCTGTTTTACTCTCTCTATATCTCTATATCATCTTTCTCTACGAAGGCAACAGGACAAAAATAGACAAAACCTTTGTCTGAATACAGTTTGAGCTTAAATATGATACAGAAATGAAAGAAAATTGAATTTACTATTTTTAATTACATATTTTTTCATTGCCACATACATGATACAGTCATTTTTCCTAAAAGTCTCTCAGCCAAATGCCTCACAGTCGTTCTGCTGGTGTTTGTCCAGCATCACTCAACACTTTAACACAACCTAATGCAGGCTATAATATTCTGTTATTTCTCATCTCCGTCATTTGATAAATTTCATGTTAGTCACGGACCACTTACCAAAGATGTTGTATCGCATTCTAATGAACACTTTTAGTTCCTTTTTCTCACTACAGCCCTGATCAAACACACATTTGTAATTGTTTCTGGTCCTCTAAAGCCTCCACTGACTCTGCTAAATATAGAGTAGTTATGGAGGCATTGGTTATGCTAATGATCAGATCTCATGAGCGCATATCTCATCGTGCATGAGTGACATTCATCAGGCTGTAATAAGCGATTTACAACAGCTTTGTCTTAACTAAGAGTGTTTAACATGAGACTAGGAAAAAATGTTTCTGTGAGGCCCAGTAGTTTGGAAATTTCACCACTTTATGTTTCCCTTTAAAGGTTACATTCAGATTTACTTCGAAAGATGAATATAACAGCTTTAATTAATATAATTCCTTTTCAAAGAGAAGTGCTGCTCAGGTAGTGTAAACTGCATGCATTATGTTGGATAATAGCTTCATAGTTTCTAGTGGAACTGTGGAGGTTTGCAAGTCTTAAAATTTAAATATCTTTATCTGGAGAATAAATAACCCCAATAGAGGCTGTAAATGTGATACGGGCAGTCATGAATCAGTAGACTGAGTTTTGTTTTGTTACTGCAACCGCTGCGACCGGCTTCAATCCCCACTATTTCATTATCACTACAACTTACTGTTACATAGACGCCCCCCCACCCCCACCCCATTTTTAATGTCTAACCACTGATGTCGTGTCTTGCAGTGACGATGACTTTGACATGTCCAGATACTCCTCATCAGGATATTCCTCAGCCGAGGTGAGATGTCTGAGGGACCAGGTATTTATACACATATTATATTGTTTCACAGCATCGTGTGGTGAAATCACGAAAACCGCCATGTGATCACACACTTCCTTTGTCACACCAGATGTCTGTGCGTATGTGCGTCCATTCAAGTGTACACTGGCGTCTTCGATCTTTCACTCACACTCACCTGTAATGACTTCTCCATAATTGTCATCCGGATAGATTTGTTCCTTTTCATTTCTTCCACTTAGAGTAGAATAAATATATAAATTATTTATATTTTTGGGGTTCTTGACTCAAGCCATTACATCAGTAAGTTCTCTGTACTCTGCTATATTTCTGCTTTGTGTGTCTTTTTTATTAATTTAGACTACAAAGATTTATTTTCTCTCATACTGATCTATGCTATATATTGCTAGAATCAGCATAGAAAGTTGATGCCTGATACTTGTTTCTTCGGGTTTCACAGCAGATCAACCAGGACCTGAACATCCAGCTCCTGAAGGACGGTTACCGACTTGATGAGATTCCTGATGATGAGGATCTGGATCTGATCCCTCCTAAAGCAGTCAACCCCACTTGTATGTGCTGCCAGGCTGCTCCCTCCACAGCCTGTCAAATCCAGTAGCACTAACCCCACCTACACAGTCTCCTCCGTGCCACCTGTACTGAGGCCAACAACTGACCAGAGTGGCAACAGAGGAAGAAAAATTAAAGACTGGCAAAGGCACAAAGGGAAAAAAAACAACAACCAAGGGTTTATAAATGCGAAAATTGAATATGTACAGTATCTGTGCATGTTCCTCCTATGGTAGGATCTGTGCATCTTACTTCTGCATTGTTGGTTCAAAAGGGACTCGACTGATGGCAGAAACATTACCTCTAAGAGAAACACACAACTTTGTTTGAACTTCCATCTCATGCTTGTGGATTTTCTGGCTTAAACAGACCGCGATGGTGCAACGCTGGTGAAGAAAAAAACCCTGTAAAATGACAGGAGCTCAACCAAATACGTGTGATGGTGACAGGTTGTTATTACTGCGTCATCCGCCCATCCAAGCAGATGACTTCTTCTACTGATGTACACAAAGGACAAGAAGAGATCGGAAGCTTTGTAGTGGCCATTGTTTTTCTTTTTCTTTTCTTTCAGCCAGTCTGCTTTGTCTTCCTGTGTATATATGTGTCAAACGTGATGTGTGTGATTAAGCCCAGGAACACCGTGCTAAACCATCCAGCTGCCGATAAAACACTAATGCTATAATAAAGTAGTAATCCAGATTCTTTTTATTTTTATTTATTTTTTCTTTTACATGTTTATCTTTAACACAAAGATTGTACTGGGCCGTTGTTTTATATTTAGTTAAAAAAAAGAAGAAGCGGAAAATGCATGTTGCCTGTTAACACTGTGCCCAGATGACCAGCCTGTGCAGATAATTTATCCGTTTTTATTGAGGCCTTAGCACATCCTTGTGCTGAGGAGACATTAATGTGCTTTCAGAAACATAGTTAATCACATTTAGGTTCACATACTGTAATATCAGTAAATCTAGTAAAACCATATAGTGTCAGCTCAGCGAGTAAGTGTGTACTTAAAGTGTGTTTGTCTGCATTAGCCTCCCTCAGTAACGGTTCACATAAACTTAGAAAAGAAGTAGAAAGAAAAGGGCTTGGAAATGGGAAATACATTGGTAGGGATGTAGTGTTGGTCACACATACAGGCTTCTGAAGCATACTGAAGTGATCTCATAATGCTTAAATGCTGATTTTCTTTTTTTAATCTTATATTTTTCCTCTATTTTCCCTGATTCTTCTTCTTTTTTTTAGATAGGAACATTAACATGCCATCCCTTTTCATTTTTACGTTTTTTTTTTGTAAAGTATGAAACGAGTGCATATTACTTGAGTAATAATAGAACTCATTGATGTGGGGACAGAATCTGTACGTGTAGCATATGTTGACAGTGTTTTATGCCATTCACTATTTTCAGGTTCTATAGAAACTGTTTATTTGTGTGGCGATCGTGGCTCAAAGAGTTGGCAGTTCGTCATGTAACCGGAAGGTTGCCGGTTCGAGCCC